GTGTTTTTTGAAAGTCGGTCTGACAAGTGACATCATCTCTGAACATTTTCTTCCAATTGAATGAAAAGACAAACTAATGGCATGAAGTAGGCTTCTTTTATCATTAGCTGGATGGATTGTGAGAAAATGTTTTTCTCAATACACGCTGGCTTCTACTTGTAGCCATGTAGACTTGTGAAGTCGCAGGACTACCTCACTCCTCAGATAAAATCAAATAGACCCACCTGAGTTACATAAACTCCTTATAATCTTTCCATTCAAGTAAAGTCATGCGTCCGATTTAGAATGCATAGATTTGGAAAAAATTAATAGTATAACCAGAATGAATTAGAGATATTTCTCTCAATTGAGAAACATAAGGTGATCTGCTGAGCGAGTGAATTTTTAGAAAATGTAAACAAACATTAAAATCACAGATTTTATTCATTTTCCTCTCCATCTCAGGTTTGATACATTTCAAGACATATCCATTTTAAACCCTTAATAGTAATTAAATGGACCTTACAACTTAAAAACTGGCATCTTACTTTTGTTTGGCAGCAGACAGTTGAACTTCTTGAAATTCTCTTCGAACAGCTTCCAGATCCGCCATCTTGCCACATGAGTGTGAAACAGTCAAAGGGAAACAACTCCATATTTCAAATAAGTCATCCAGAACACAGTAACTTTCGCCTAGCTGTCTACAATGTAATCATGTTTTGAGTAGGACTAAAATAAGTAACAGATAATGATAAATGAATTGATAAATGTCTTTGGACTTTTTAGATTGGCTTATTTAGGTTCACTGAAAGATATTTTGTGTTTATCGATATATTCTATGTCCCTAAGTAGGCCTATGCAGTTAACATGCGTCAAAATATCTAATTAATCACAAATTAGAGCTCCTTACAAAACGGTTCAGCGCCACATATTTCGCATTGAATTTAATCAATGGAACTGAGTATACGGCATGCTCCCTGCACACCAATGTGAGGACATGGAATTTTAGGACGATGTTCGGGGGTTCTGAGGTCAAGTAGGCTACCCGAAAAAGACATTGTTTCACTTTTTCTCGAAGCAGATTGATTAGGGGCTAACTAATACATGTATATTGAAATATTCTAGGCCAATAGACCTACATAAGACTTAGACCACTGCTAACAACTCAGACAAATGCCAAGGACTACTCAACTCAGATCAATGCTAAAGACTTGATTAGGCCTACTAGTACTACAGTGGCGGCGCAGAGGGGTACAGAGGGGAGGGGGATTTTTCACCAACTTTAATTTTATCCAATTTACAAATATGATTTGAAGACGTCTTTGCCCGGAAATATGTGTCAGAAGTCACCAAATTAATTCAATTTTTTGAAAAATTCCTCGGGAGAACCCTCTCAGACGCTCAATAAGAGGCTTGAAACATCCACAAAGTTGCCGCATTTTGAATTCAGCTTGATCCCCCCTCCCCCACCTCATTGAGTCTGTCTGCCCCCTATTTGTATAGGCCTACCCCCAGTTTCGGGAGACTGGAGCCGACATTGAGTAGTAATAAATACTACTCGTACTGATTTGATTAACTATTAATCACATTGACGTGAACTGTTAAATGGGATTAGTTAGATGATATGAGTTAAACAATAACCTGTTGCGAAACAGATCGTCAAGTCCGTTCTTTACTAGGTTCTGAGCCTGAACGGATGAGGTGACATTCCAAGATGTACCCATCAAGATTAAAATAATTTCAGAGACATAGGCCTATCCCTTTCCGTGCAATTCTAAATCAAACTAAGCCCCTACCCAACAACCCTCTCCCCCCCTCACCTCCAAAAAGGTTTAATTGCTGATTTAAAGATACAGCATGACTGCACCCAAGTTATAGGCCTACTATCAGTTATTCACGTTCCCGCCAAAAATGTCCTTGAAAATTTCATAAGCCTAGGCTATATCTATAGCCAAGAATTAGGATGCAGCCTGAAACTTAATATTCAAAGTTGCACATAAATAATCGTTCTTGATCAATATTAGTGCTATGCGTATTCAACTTTCATAAGAAGCGCTACAGAAAAATAGACAGGTGGACAGTAGAAATTATTTCAAGGTCACGCATATTGACTAGTATAAGTTAAACGATACACACTTCAGTTAGTTTAATGACTATCTTAATAACAAATATTAACTTCTAGGTAATTGATCCTTTAATGGCTTTACATGGCTGCCAAGTATTATCTTTAATAACACAGTAAATCGGATCAAAATTAATCTCAGTCGCAACCGACCTCCTGCATAGATTCTGTATACATGTTGCTAAGGAGTATGAAAATTGATATTATTTTTATATTCCTACGCAGAAAATAATCCCATTTTCTTAAAAAATTTTCTTTACAAATATTCCAAAAAAATTATATATGAATATTTCAAATAATATTCAATCACATATTTTAGGTATTTGAATCAAATTTTGAATTTTTAATTGAAATTATACAAAATGTCTCATTTTTCATATTGCCCTGATATAAATGCGCCGACCAAATAACCGTCCCATAGGCTTATGGAGACAGAAGACATAAAAACATGAGTTGGTGAATGAAGTTTTGAAGTTTGTTTTTACCTCATCAAAAAGACAATATCAACTCGCTCTCTTGAGGGAGTTAATATAAAGTTTATTTCACAATGGCTGATGTAGAAAAAGATGGTGGACCGAGTGAGAAGGAAGTTAATAAGCCAGATAGCCCCAAGCCTGACACAGAAGTTGCACCTCCACTTGTATCAGTCAAGAATGATAAAGGTTGGTAGTGATGGTGTCAAATTTCATATTTTTAATGGCAAAAAATAACAAAACTATTTAACAAACAAAAAAATTTAAAAGAAATTATCGAATATTTTTCTTTGTAAATTGGCAGTTACTTATGAGATACTAAGTATATTTGGACAAAATGATTACCTTTTAATTCTTTCAAATTATTCGAATTATTCCCTTCATGTTTTAGGTTTAAATTTTTGCTTCCAACATTTTCAATTTATAGAAAATTGTCAGAAAATACAAACAAAAATAGGAACATCCAAATGGTGTTTTATCAGTTGTCTTTAAATTTTATTGAAATTTTGTTTCAAAAATAAGAAAGAAAATGTCTTTTGCTGACTGAAATGTTCTTTTGAAATTTGGTTTTTGAAAATTTGTACAGAATTGATGATTCAATGCAGAAATCTCAGTGGTTAGTAGAACTACCACATTGAACACAAAATGTATTCCAATTTATTTGATCAGTTAAAATGTCTAGAATTGTTAGACCTTAAGTACAGGGTGGTAGAATATAAATAGGTTAGATAAGGCACAGAAAATTATTATATCTTCATTATTTACATTAAAAAACTCTGAATAACTTTGAAAGGTTTGTAGTTTCACATGCCTAATATACATAATAGTTACATATTTTGTAATACAATTTGATAAATCAGAGATTTTTATTAGATCTTTAAAAGAGATTTTTTGAGCTTATTTCAGATAAAAAAAAATCAGCTTTTTATACAGCTTTTTTTTTGAGTAACTGAGTAAAAATCTGCATCACACATACTAATGTTTTAATTTGGATATTGTCACATAACAAATTCACAAAATAACTAAAAGAATTATTAATTAATTGAGACAGTTTATATTAATAATAATAGAAATATGATATATCATAGCCAATAACCAAAATAACGCCCTGATATTTCTTATCGGCTCACTATTGACTGATATCGGCCCTCTATTCACTGTTATTAGGTGTAAAAAGCTCATTGACTAGAGTGTTAATCTATCATTACATTGATATTCTAAGTCTTTATATCCTCTTTATTTTATGATAACAAATAGTGGTCTATAACACAAGTATTTCTGCTATTAATATAGTTGATAGTCTTTTAACAGTTTATTAAAGTTACATTAGGGAAGTCAATATGTGTTGTATGCAATAGATTATGGATTACTCAAAGTTTATGTTGTGTATTTTTTCTTTATAATCTGTATTTGATTGATCAGGCTATGAAAGTATCAAATCTGTTGCTTTCTTGTATACCAACAAGTTTTGCAAATAAGTTGAATAAAGTCTAAAATTTTCTCAAACATCTAGGCTCAATATAGTGGTCTTTTCCATCTTTATTAGGACAAGCTTGAGACTGAAGACCTCCTTCTTTGTGAATATTTTTAAAACTTGTCATGTTTTTATTTTAGATGAGAAGAAACCAGAAGACAAACCTGCCGAAACCAAACCAGGAGGAGTGAAAGCTAAATCTAAAACTAGTTTACAAACAGTTAAGGTAAGTATTGGAAACAATGTGAACTATTGAAAAAAATTAAAAACTAAAATCCATGAAAGTTTTATAAAAAAGTCGTAAAACGAAGTCGTAAATGAAACTATAAAAGAATTTAGATTTGGCTCTATGCAAAGCCATAATATTTTGAATATGAATACCTTCTTGTATATATATATGGAATGGAGATAGGGCTGGTGGAATGGAGATCGTTTTAGCTTATACTTTATGTCATTATGTAATTACTATGATTGTGTAGTTAGTAAATGGTGAACTATTGTTTATAGTGATACAATATCTTAATGAGTATAGATCTTATAGAAATTATATTGATTTCTGTCTATTTTATCAATATTATCCACTTTCTAACTGAATAGGATAATATAATCTAATGCCTCTTTGGAAAGAAAAATAGGCATCAATTAAAGCCTAATACTATAAAACTATATGAAATCAGATTTCGTATTTACTCTATCGTTCCAAAAAAGATTTGTCTTGTGCTTGAAGATATCTTTTATTTACCAAACTTGTAAAACAAAATAAATATATTAGGGCTGCTGAATATTTTTTTAGAAATTTACATTTTATGGTTTATGCTTAAATGTATCTTATGATAAGAACAGTATTTTGTTCACTGGGCAGTATTTTTTGTTCGATTGCTTTTGCAAGGCAACTAACTGTTGTGGTTCTGATTTGTTGCGCGTCCAATACTTCTAGATTTTCATATTATTCCCATCCTTTATAGATATTGAATAAATAATAGGATATCATAAGGGTGGAGTGGAAATAGTACAGACTGAGTTTGGTTAAACATTGATAACACATACCAGACTTAATTAGATTAATTATAAATTCTACTAATTAACATATTCTTCTTGTAGACAGTCAACAAAAACACCAAAAATGTTATTTTATCTGGAGAAGCAGTTAAAGAGATGCAGAAAGCTGCCAAAGCTGAGAAAGATGAGAGAAAATTACAGGTAAGGAATCTCCGGGGAACGTTAGCGTTAAAGTTTGATAAGATTAATTACAAGCACTTGACTTGACTTGATATTGATTGACTAGTTCACGCACTTTGTTTCATCCTGGATGCTAGTTCGGTGGCAGACGGATATATAAACCCCATCATGGATAAGGGAAAAGGTCTATTCCAGGAAGGATGCGTGGAGAACTTTCGTAATTTTAATGTGGGGAATCTATCAATCCTCACTGTGGGGATGATGGGATACGAAGAAGAGGATGGTAAACCATCTGATGAGGACTCGGAAGAGGAACGGGCAATGACTTACTTTAGTTCACGATGTAATACTTTTGTAAGGAACTTTCTTATTCTTTTAAGATTTCTTTGTAGAATTTTGTCATATTTGTTCAGAACTAAATGTTTCTTGGATATTATCTAGTATATTGCATGTCTGCTTTTTGTAATTGGTTTTGTGATGTGAAGTTTTAGAGATTTGAATTCTTATAAATCAAATTTGTTATGTGAAGAGTATAATTTGAATTAATGAAATCTCAGGGTAAAGGAAAAAGATTTTTAAGATGTAGGAAATGATAGAAAAAAGTTAATATTTTGACTAGCAATTGTCATGTTCCACTGTCACTGTTGTATATAGTAATTGTGTTGGCGTACACCTAACTCAACCATGCATCTGATTCTAGCTTATTCTGTTTGACTTTTATTTCCAATTTTTATTTAACATGCCGTATGAGTCAACAGACAAGCTCAATTATCAATGGGCATTGGAGTGTATAGCTTTGTGATGTAAATTATATTCTATATGTGAAGAAAGTAGAGTAGATTGTTAGAATAAGGCTATGTGAGTTAGTTCACAGTAGCAATGTTGATAAATGTTTAAAGGAAAGGATCTCTAATTAACATCTTCCGTTTTCAATTCACCAATCAACAGTCAATCATGTGTGTAATGTGATGGTTGATTTTATGCCTTCTGAAAACAATAGCGTGATTTTCACAAGTAATCAGTTAATTGGATGAATTATTGATAACTTTGTACACAGTTTTGTTCTTGAAACTTTAATTTATACTGTTGAATATTTCTCTACAAAATTTCTCACTTGATCGCTCTTCTAAGTTTAAAACAGTCAAATTTCTGATTTCAAGATGGCATTTCGGAATTATGATGTTGGAAATTTTGGAATGTCTAATATCATGGAGGGTGGAATTTTGGCAGGACCTGTTGATGATTATGTTGTTGAAGACCTGGAACCAGAATATTATAATTATGATTCAAATTTATGTTATTAATATTATATTTTCACCATTTATTGGTTTAATGATATATCAGTTTTTCAAATTAAATATGAAAAAGAATAATTATTTGTAGTTGATTATAATATTATATAATATTACTATAGTTTTGTCTGAAATTTATTTTGCAGTGTTTAAGCGGCTTATAGTGAGTGCATCTTAAAAAGCACCTGTTCAGGCAAAGAAAGTCTGTGATATTTTTTCTTAATACATATATAAATGAATGTATTAATTTAATAAATATTTTGTTTTCAATTTCAGATGGACTCACGTCATGTGTATTTATTTACTCAGATAGCTGATTATATTAATATAGATTTCGCTACAGTTGAAGATTTTATTCTAGGGGATGAGAAGGTAAGATATCATATATTGAAGATGATATATTTTAATATGTTACATTGTACATGGGCTGCGATCTTGTACAAGCCATTATTGCACTTCTAATATGAACCTTTTGTCATTGCAAAAATGAAGCTCTTAATTTGTTGCCAGAAAATAATTAAATTGGTGAAGATGTGCAATTTTTGTGGATCTTAAGATTTTGGGGATACAATCTTGGTTATCTGTCTTTTGATAAATCATAAAATTAATTTTCAGTTTAATCAGATTGAAAGTTTCTTTGCTCCCAATGGATCAAGGAAGTTGATGTTCTTTTACCAAGATAATGTAAGTACAATTTGCTTTTGTCACAGGCATATTTGGTACTGTTTCAGTACTTTATGTACCAAGGGTATGTAAGGAAGTCAACTCTCGTAATGCCAGTTAATTTAGCTGTACAGGATACATAAGCACAGCATGTGAGAATCATGCACAATATTTACATTTATGGCCTCAAAAGAAAATTGGGGTGAGGCACCAGTATCTAAATGATTCCAGCCCCAATGCCTTTTAAAGATAACAGGCAAAGAGGACTGCAAGGATTATCATGTTAACAACAGTGTTATAAGAAACTAATTTGTAAAGCTTGTTAAATATGGATGTTTGTTTCTGCTCTGATCATGGAGACCATGTAATATTGATGTTGTTTGTCTATTTTTAGAAGTCTCAAGGATCCAACCAGAAGAAATTATTTATCACCAATGGAGATTCTGAAGTAAGCTTTTTCTATTTTGATTTAAATACCCTCCTGTATTCAAATTTGAATGTGTTTCACAAGCATTGCATCTTACAACTCTGTTCAAACTGTTTATCTCATGCTTTATTTGAAAAATTCTTTATGAAAACAAGTATTTTTGAAATTTTGGAGTCACTATCACACATTGCCTGCCTATCCCAGATCTAAATGTGTAATTCACTGTTGCTCAACAGAGATCCAGGTAGTGGGATCAACTGAGAACTGATCTTAATGTATTATTTTATTATTATTTAGGGTCTACATGGTATGTGTCTCTATTTCCTACGAACTACAACTAAATCTATATCACCCGCCAATATTGCCCAGGAAGTAAACTTTGGCATGATAGATTGTAGTAATGGTAAAATATTGAGTGGAATGGAGAAACATCTAGCTAAAGTTGTTTTACCAGCTCTTAAATCTTTGGAGGTAAGAATTGTCTTCGTGAAATTCAAATCTTAAACTACATAAATGAAAAATTCAAAACTAGATTGGTCTTCAGGTCTGTGTTGCTCTCAAGCTTGTGCTTATTCTGTGAACATGGTGCTGCTCTGACAGTTTTGCTTGCTGTCTTGCTTTGAACACTGTCTTCTGGATTGCAGTTATACGTCTTATTGTCTCCTTATCAATAGTTTTCTTCTTTGATTCATTTTTCGAACTAAGAACTGACTCAGAAGAATGCCAAAGCCAATGCTTTCTAAATTTGACCTGGTGATCTGAAACCTTTCAACCAACAATATAAATAACCCTATCAAAATCTTTTACAGCAATGGGGATCACTAGAAACTAAGAATGGTTCAAGTACTCAGGTAGATGATTTTCTAGAACAGTTAGAGAAATTCAATAAGAATTTGTTGACAGCTGTAGAAAATATGGAAGGACAAGTTAAGCTAGATGATCATGGTGAAAGTGAATTATTAGAAGGGATGAACACAATGGCTGACTATCAAGCTGCTGGTAGGTTTACATTTTGGGTTTTTAAGGCCATTGTCTTCAGACACACTTTGGTGATGATGGTTGAAAGCAGACACCAGACCAACCTTCAGAATCATCGATAGTGCTGTTAGAATTTTCCCCACCAGTTAGCAATCTAACTCAATACCATCTGAGCTTTTCTGCTGAATTTTTCTAAAAATAAGATAAGCTGTAGATAAAGAAAGGAAACAGCAATTTTAACAACTAAGAGGATCCGTGCAACTAGCAGGTTCACTGCATGGTTTCTCGTAGAGTGTTAGACCTGAGGCGGCCATTATTGATAAATCATTCTTCTGTTCAAACATGTATATGATTTTCAGACATAATTGCCACCATTCTTCATGGAATATGATGATACTGATTTTTTTTTAAGAATTTTGTATGACTGTTAATTGAACTTGATCTTTATTTTAGCTGGTAATACAGAACAATTAGAGAAGATGGAAGAATTATTAACAACATGGTCTAAACAAATAGAACAAGTTTTAGCTGAAAGTGAACAGATGAGAAGAGAGGCTGATGATATTGGTCCTACTGCTGAATTAGCTTACTGGAAATCTAGAATGGCTAAATTTAACAAGTATGTTTTCACTTTGAACTTTGGCAAAATTCCTTTGGCACTGCTTACCAGAGTTGCTTCAGAAGTAGTTGCTCCTAAAGTGGATGGACATTAAAATACTGACCTGAAAAGCATTCAAAATGGTCTGTGTGCTTTTGACAGAGCTCTTTTAAGCAAATATGATGTGGAATAATGTTGTGAAACCATCAAATTAACAAATTTCTTTTTACAAGATCTTATAGAATCTGTCTTATGTAACAGTAGAATTTTGTATTAATGTACCTTTAGGTTTAAATTCTGATGCAGCGGCAAAATGTTGATACAGTCAACCTTCATCTATTTGGTATGATCAAATTTAGAATGTCTCATTTTTATAATTTTCATAATTTGTCATTTAATTTTTAGCTTGTTAGAACAAATGAAGAGTAGAAAAGTAAAAGCTGTATTAGGTGTTTTACAAGTTGCTAAATCTAAAACCTTGAAAGTTTGGAAAGAATTGGTAAGTCTTACTTTGTATTACATTTAAATTTTGTTTAGAGATGTTCATTTGCTTAAATAGCCTATGTTATTTAGTTGTCCTCAAATCTTGATGCAAAGTGTCAAGCAGTTAATTTGTTAGGATATTTTTTTTTAATGTAAGCCATTTTGTGCATAAATGTTTGACATTCCCTGGACCACACCTCTTTTATTGATTGAATTTAACTTTCAATTTGTTTTTTTTTAGGATGGACGTATAACAGATGCTGCCAATGAAGCTAAGGACAATGTTAAATATCTATATACATTAGATAAATTCTTTGGACCACTTGTTAAATGTACTCCTGTAAGTGAAAAATTTTGTCAACTATTATCATTTCTATGAGAATTGAAGAAGAAGTGTTTAAGTGATTCATAGAACGTATTGTATATCATTTGTGTGGAAAACTGAAATTCATTTCATTTTTGATTTCAATTCATATTATTTTTTGAATTTGTTCATTATCTTTCCAGGCCTCAATGATAGAACATATTCCTAGTTTAATGAATGCTATAAGGATGATATACAGTATCTCTCAATATTATAATACCTCCGAACGTATGACATCATTATTTGTGAAAGTAACCAATCAGATGATAACCACCTGTAAAGCCTATATTAATCAGGGAATAACCAAAATCTGGGAACTTCCACGTGACGTGTTACTCACTAAGTTAAATGAATGTATGAAATTGAATGAAGAATACCAGAAACAGTTCCAAAAGACAAAGGAAAAGTTGAAAGAAAATCCTAACGAAAGACAATTTGAGTTCAGGTATGAGTCAAGATTTCAGAGAATGCAATTAAAATTCTATCAAATCAAAATGAAAAAAAGTAACTAGATTTTCCTATGAAATCACAGAAAGAAAAGTTCATGTTGGTTCTACTGTTATTTTCAAGAGATGAGTAATGGATTTTGCAGTTTTTGACAAATAGTTTCAAACATTAGGTTGATTCATTACTGATGCTGTAATTGTAAATTTTCACATATTCCTTGAGGGCAATATTTATTTTCAAATTTTTTTATATTTGATATATATATTGATATATTTCAGTGAGAATGATACATTAAGTGAACTTATTATTAATTGTATAATTATGAATATTTCAGTGAGAACTATATATTTGGTAAATTTGATACATTCTGTAAGAGATTAGAGAAGATAATAGATATGGTGAACACTATAGAGGTATTTAGTAGTTTATCGGATGTTAAAATAGAAGGTATAGAAACAATAGCTGTTAAATATAAAACAATCGTGGAGTCTACTAGAAAGAAGAATTATGATGTATTGGATCACAGAAAGGGAGAGGTTAGTATCTTTTAAGCTTCAGTTATGTTTTGAAACAAGAGGCTTTTATTTTGTAATGATTTTTACACAATCATTCATATATTAGAATTACATGGTAGATCATGGAAAGAATATTAATTAATAGATTCTTGTGTACCTTAACTTTTTTTTATGAATTTGGAAGCTACACTGCTTGGAGTTTTTGCTGTTCTTAGTCATTGAGGATTGTACAATGTAGCATGGAATAAAAATGTTTTATATTCTTTTCCAGTTTGATATGGATTATATGGAGTTTAGAAATCAAATTGATATTTTAAGAATGAGTATCCAGAACTTTATGGATACCTGGTTTCAGAAATCACTGAGCGTATGTTATTGATCTTTATTAAACCCCTGCTTGTATTTTCCCTGTTTGCTTTAGAGGTACTTAATTCCTAATTAAAAAAGCCCATGGATTGAAAATGTCCCTGTGATCAATTGCAGCAAGACTTTAATGGTATCTGTCTGTATATACTAATGAAACTGATTTGATTATATTTGGTGAATGTGCCAATGTGGTCCAATAAGGCTTTGTCTTTTACTCATTAATTGTAACAAAAAGGCTGATTAATTTCCTAATATGAATCTTTTCTTTCTTCCCTATCTATTTACTAATATTCTTAACTTGTTACTAACCATCTTGCTTTCTTGTAGACTCTTAAACCATGGCAGGTAATAGAAGAGGTTCATGTCAAATTTTCATATTTTTTGCATGAAATTGCATGATAAAAGATATTCCTTTTTCCCAATTAATATTTTCTACAGAGCAGAAAACTCTATGGCATGAATTTTAGAACAGTGTTAAGCAAAATGCCATACATACTTGTTATTTGTCAGGCCTGATTCCCTTTTTTAACATTAATCACAAACTGAACCAGTGTGACTTCACAAAGTTCCCTTCACTTATTTCTTGACGTTGATTATCATCATTTACTGCATAGTTTTCTAGCCCCTTTCACTCTTTGTCAATACGACTAAGAATATAGGTAAAACTAGAGTCAAAAGATAAAAAGATTAAATCTATAATATAATGAATTATTGTATAGTCACCTAGGTTTCATTGTCAGAAACATCCTAACTTAGATACTGATGAAAAACAATTTGACAAAAATCAAATCAATCAAATTCTTAAAATTGTTCAGATGGACTCTCGATAAGTTTGGATATTTCTGACATTTTTCTTCTGTTTTCTATGTTTCTTATACCATTTTTGTATTTTCTAACAGATGGAGAAAGCTATTGAGATGTTGGAGAAGTTTGAAGGTATTAAAGGAGCTCAGTTAGATATGAATGAGAAATATATGAAAGTGATGATGGCTTATGGAAGAGACCTGGAAACTATTCGTAAAATTTACCAGAAGTACAAATCTGAACCGACCATACCACGAAACTTACCTCCCATTGCTGGTAGAATAGCCTGGGCTAGACAACTCTATAGAAAGATAGAACAACCAATGAAAGTCTTCAAATCTAAACCAGAAGTCCTTAGGGTTAGTTTCTTAAATTCACTAGTGTGATAATTGAGTTATCTCCCTAAAGTCTCCCAAAGTTGGTTATCTCCTTTCTTGTGCCATGTATAAAAGACTTTAACGATGGTGTTTTAGCACTCAAGATGGAAATTCTAAATTCAAGATAAGAATTTGTACAAGAGTTATCCCCCTTTAGTCTTCAATCTTTAAATTGAATATTTTGTTTCAGAATGCTGAAGCCAAGAAAATTATCAGAAATTACAACAAAATGGCTGGAGTTCTTCTAGAATATGAGGTTTGTAGATGAATTATTATATTATGATTACAAAAGACATCATTGGAGAAGCAGAATGCAAAATAATCTTACTTTTCTATCATTGATTGGAGCATGGCTGATCATTTAACAGTTTTTGCCAGCTATATCTTAATTTGCACAGTATAATGCCCTGATTCAGATTTTCATCATTAATTTGTATTTTTTTAGATGCTGTATCACCGTGGATGGTACAGAGCAGTAGAAGCTGCTAAAAGTGGAATTCATGCCTCGTTATTGGTTCGTCATCCAGACACAAATGAAATCTATGTGAACTTTGACCCCCAAATTATGGAATTGATCCATGAAGCTAGATGTTTACAAGCTTTGGGACTGGATGTTCCAGACTCTGCCAAGGAATTGATTGTGAAAGAAGAGCCAATTAAAGAGAATCACGTTGCGTAAGTTTCTTTTAATTTCAAAGCTGATAAGAATAAATTTTTTCGTAAATTACTCCCTAAAGAACTTTTGCAGCAATTAGCTTGGAAAATATATATTCACTTTAATAGTAAATATTTTAGGATGGGTAGTCTTGGATGAAAGGTATTCTATTTTAAAGATAGAGCATAGAGCATAGCTTGTTAGTTCTAGACTAGTTTATTGAGTAATAGTTATTTTAAGGGATGTATTGGTGTTTTTACAGATTAAGAGAGATGTTAAATGGATATAAGAAGATTCTATCTAAAATACCAGCTGTATTATTACCATTGATTAAACCATTTAGTAACAGAGTAGAAGAAGCTCTGGCTCCAGGACTCACTTCCCTAACCTGGACTTCAATTAATCTGGATGGATGTAAGTTACTTCAGCTATAAATAAGTCAATGACAAATGGTTTATTGATTCAGATCAGAGAGATTGGGAAAATAAGATAATAAGATTAGCTAGTATCAAGATCTGATTGATTGACATAACAAGAAGCTGCAAGATATATAAAATCCCTACATTAGACTAATAATGTGCTGAAAATATATTATTACTGATATAAGTTTTATAATTTTGATTTCAGATATAAAGACTATCTATAATGTGATGACAGAGTTAGATAAATTATCTAAGATAATAACAGATTTATTGGATTGTCGGATTGAAGCTGTTTTACAAGAGATGTCAATAACAGCTTTATGTGATTTACCAGATGATGAGCCAGTAACAGCTGAACAGTTTCTGGAACTAACTACTAATGTAGTCAATACTGCTTCAGAAACATTGGCAACGTAAGTCAAATTTTGTATCCTAATTTGACTGTCCTCCCATCCAACCTATGTAATCTTCCTTAGATTAGCCTATGTTTCCTGTTCCCTCCCTTGTGTATTAAACTATGCAATTATACCTGATTTTAGATCACTAAAGCTGTAAAGCTCATATAAATCCTGCTTACTGTTATATATTCAACAGTTCTGAATTTAGCTTTTAAGACTGATTATGAATTTCTAAAAAATTTTAGCTTTATTTGTAAATCTTGCTATGCCTATTAGTTCATCTTCCCCTTCTCTTACATGTTAACATTACACTAAAACTCCTACGTGAGGATTTTACTTTCAAATTGCAAACATATTTACTATTCCTAATGAAATTTTCTATTAGTGGTGAGCTTGATGAAGATTGTTTACATGGGTATGTTGGAAACTTCCGGACAATTGCAGTAGATTAGATTAGGAACTTGAATGCCTTACTGAAAAATTCCAAAATCTTAAAATTCTATGAAAAGTTTATTTGATTGGATGACACTTAATGATTGGAATATTTAGAATTGGGTTATGAATTTAATCAGAATAGATTGATCAGATGTAGTTTAGTCAGCATGTTCCCTATTATTTTAAATGTATTTTAGTCATTTTAAGACCACGTTATAAAAAACAATTTGCTCATGGTCACGGCATGTAAAAATATTTTTATGTAGTTTTAAAAAATGATTGTTTGTGTAAATTTGTTGGATGGTTAAAACATTTCGATATTGATTATACCTTATGCATTTTAAGTAGCAAAACTACTTTAAAAATGTTAATTTTTCATGGGATTTGAAATTTCATGCCCCAATGAATATATTGAACTATAGTAGGCTTATAGTAAATGCTGCTGGAGGATCATGACACATTTGGTTCAATAATAGAAGAGTATTACTAAGATTAATCAAGCAAAATAGTGAAGACTCCAAACAATAAAATTTGGAATCCATGAATTGATGTCAGTACGAAAAGGATTTTTGAAGATAAAGCCACAATTTAAGTAAAAATTTTCACTCTCTTGATTTTTTAGACAAAGTCAGCTAGTGGAGAGAGCTGTAACTGAATTAGTTGAGACTATTCAATCAAGACTACTTCCATCCGAACGTACCAATCTCTCAGCTGAAGAAGGCTATACCTGCATTCAACCAGACACCAAAAATAAAAAACAAAGATGTCAGGAATGTCAGCCATGTTGTTATTATCAAATCTTAAATTATTTCACTCAGAGAAACACAGAGGCTTTGGTTAAATGTAAGTTTGAATAAATTGAAATATATAACATGATCACATCACTCAACTGTAACTGAATTGGCGTTGTTTGACTTTCATGCTGAATTGGATCTAAATGCTTAAAAGAAAAAATCCATTTTGAAAAGACAGTTAATTTTCGAATATTTTAACTCCACATGAATGCTCAAAGCAGGAGTGAGAGTCATATGTGCTCATACATCTAATGTACAGAACAGTTGCTTATGCAATATACTCCACTCCTTACCCTCCAAATCAGTACAAAAAATTAAGAAGTTGGCATAGGCCTAATGCTTGCACTGTAATATTCAGTGATAAAATGGACAAAAGATAGATCATCTGATATATTTTCAGGTACCAGAATCTCATTGGATACCATCAAGAGAAGACTACAAGCTTCTAATAGATATTTGAGTGATGAAATGAAGGAGGATCCCAAACCACCATTATTTAAAGTGGATGTCATTCTAGCTATTCCTAATGTAGTAGTTAAACCAAGCTTAGAGGATTTACAGCACACTTTAAATAAAGCTGTCCAGATCATTCTCAAAGCATCAGCTGATATTCCACAATGGCAACATCTTGTGTTGCATCAACGCCAACAACAAAAGGTTGGTAATCTTTGCTGAAATTCTATATTTTCAACCAAATTTCATTTGTATTTTGAAAAAATAGCTTCTATATGTAACTTGCTGGTTGCTGTGTTCTTACTTACTATCTTAAATAAGATAGAATGTGATAATGACCTATGTGTTGTCCTCTTTTGGAACCTTGATAGGTTCAATTTGAATGTACTCACATGTGTTTGAACACTGTATTAGGTTGCCCTTCATCCAATTCCATTTCAAAGAATGAATCAGACAATATTGATATATATTAATCATAATTTCAGCTTGGTAAGAAATTGACAGGTTATTTTTCTATACTCACTATTTATATAATCATCTTTCATTATCATAGTTAGGAACTTTTTATACCTGTTTCTAAAATATTAGTTATAGTTTTAATATTACATTTTATTATACAAAAAATATATTTATATATTTTTCAACATTTTTTTACAGGAATGAATTAGAAATAGATTATATAACAATTTTTCTCAAATTTTCTAATATTATAAAGGTCAATGTCTTCATTCTGTTACCAATAGTACAACCTGAATTTAAAAAAAAAGAAACTGATAATATACTAGTAATGAGTAATTCTCATATCTTTAGAAAATATAGGAATCATAATTTCACTCTTCTCAAAACAATATTAATATCTATCTTACAACTTGTTTCACATTGTATGAAAATATACAAAGATTAAAAAAAAAAATAACCTGAATTTGGAAAGATTTAGTAAAGCAAAACCTATTGATCGTCCATTGTCCTGACAAAATTTCCCTCATTTCACTCTGCTTGGTTTTGCCTGTAGTTAAAATCCCAAACAAGTTCAGAGAACTCCCATTTCATTTATAATCATTGTAAAAACTGTTTTATTATTGTTTGTAGGAGGCTGAACTAGCTCTAGCTGATGATAAAGACGATGGAGCTAAGATGATCCCAGCATCTTCCCAGATGAAACCATTAAATAAGATAATCAGTGATCATAAAGACGTGGTGAAAATAGTCATACAATTGAATTCTATTATTAGTACATTTAAAGGGAATGTACAGGAATCATTGGACAGTTATACTAAATATTCTGAACTTTGGACTAAGGTGAGTATCTTTAAAGCTTTTCGTTACTCTTTATTGAGACCAGCAAGTCTTTGTTCATCATTGTATAAACCATGCCCCCTTATCAAAAAACAAAATGTTATATTAGCCACTTGCAAGTTTGTTGATTGGCTAGTTTGTTAGCTCATAAATGATGGATATTTTTGTCTTATGTTGTCAAGAAGCTTATTTCAGCAAGATGATCTCAGTAAGATTGTAGTAAAGATATTAAACTGTTCTATTTCACCAGGTACCAGAAGAGACTGTTAAAGAATTTATGGCCACCAATCCTCTCCAGTCAGAAATAGAATCACAAATTAAATATTATCAACGTATGGAAGCTGAGGTTGAGGAGATTCAACAATCATTCCGTGTTGGTTCCGTGATATACCTGACCAATAAGCTGGTACTTGCATTGGTTACAGAAACCAGGAATTGGAAGATGGCGTATGCCAAGGCTTTGAATGATAAATGTACCAGACAAATGGATGAAGTTTTGGAATTTACTGAGAATTTGATGAAGAAATTAAACCGACCAGTAAAAGATTTAGATGATGTCAGAAGTCATATGGCTAGTTTGAGTGAAATCAGGGAAAATGAAGTTCGTATTGATATGACTATTACACCAATAGAAGAAACCTACGTCTTATTAAATAGATATAATATATTCTTTAATGATGGTAATGCTGAGAGAGTTGATTCCTTGTCTTATAACTGGAAAAAACTTTCTAGTAAGGTGAGTGTTAGCTTTATATTTCTTACATGTATTTTCTTACTGTAAGATAACTTTGAGAATAGTGGATTGAATTTTCCTATACATTAAGACCAATACCTGGACTAGTTTTTGTATGTTAGACTACAGGATGTTGCTCTTAATGATGAATACAGTTTTCATCTTACATTTACCTCTTATTTTTGTAAAGGTTACTGAAGTCCAACAACATCTATTAGAAATTCAACCTAAATTTAAAGCTGATCTGTTGGATGGTGTTGAAATATTCAAGAAAGATGCTGATGATTATGTTAAAGATTATGATTCCAAGTATGTGATTTTTTTTCACTTTTTTAGAAAATTTTTATGAAGTCAGGAACATCATAAATGATGATGAGGAACTTTATAACCAGGGATTCATTGAAGGACAGTAGGCCTACCACTATGTAGTTGCATGCAATTGCATTTCTTGCCAATTTGCATAGATCTCATCTTGACCTCAAGAATAATAATTTTTTGTCCTGGGTCTTTTGGAAGCTGCAAGTTCTTCAAATTATTTCCAGTTTGCATCGATTTCATTTCACTGAAACCAACTTACGTTTCAGGGGTCCAATGGAAAGTGGTATAGTACCAAGAGAAGCCTCTGATAGATTGAATATTTACCAATCTAAGTTTGATGAATTGTGGCGTAAATATGTCACGTATTCTGGTGGTGAAGAGTTATTCGGTCTGACTATTACTGAATATCCTGAACTGATGAAGATTAAGAAAGAATTGAATCTGCTACAGAAACTCTATCAGCTATATAATGCTGTATTAGAGAATGTCAATGGATATTACGATATTGCTTGGTCTGATATTGATATTGATAAGATCAACTCTGAACTCTTGGAGTTCCAAAATAGGTATGAATTTGGTGATTCATTATTGTCTTTTTAGAGATGCCATTTTCAGAAACCTGACAAATCATGCAACTAAGAAAGCAGTATGTTTCAGAATGTCTATCTATGGAGGTGAAACCAAGACCTTAAAAGTTTTTAACATTTAGGCTCATGTTTATAGGGTTAAATTAACAATTGTGATTTATATTAAAATGCCACAATAGAATGGAGACTGAGTAAATATATTTTATTATTAAAATTTCACTCAGAATCACTTACTGTAGACAGTGTAAATCACCAGTAGAATGTCTTTCACATTTTGTGATCGAATTAAATTCTGCATGTAGAAAAACTTAAATTTGCTTGTATTTTTTGATATGCATGAATTAATCCATCTTGAAATTTTGAATGAATTGTACATGATTAGATGTTCTTTAGAGCTTTTTCAAATTTCACCACTCGTAGTTTCTTTTGGGTATCATGATGCATCCTATCAGAATAATGAAATTGCTTGTCAAAATATATTTTAAATTTTGTAAAACGTGAAATTTTAAATCCACTAACCTACTTGTTGAATATGAAACGAAATCAAGAACATATTACTGATTATTATGATCTGAAATCCGTCCATATTTTCTTTAGGTGTCGTAAGTTGCCAAAGGCCCTAAAGGAGTGGCAGGCCTATGAGGATTTGCGTAAGACTATTGACGACTTCAATGAAACTTGTCCACTGTTAGAGATGATGGCTAATAAAGCCATGCAAGAACGACATTGGCAACGTATATCCCAACTGACTGGACATCAACTGGATGTAGAAGCTGATAACTTTATGTTACGTGATTTAATGAAAGCACCACTCCTACCTAATAAAGAAGATATTGAAGATATCTGTATCTCAGCTGTTAAAGAAAAGGATATTGAAGCTAAACTGAAAGTAGTTATTAATGACTGGAGTGCTCAGAACTTTGAGTTTGCTAATTTTAAAACTAGAGGAGAACTTCTGTTGAAGGGTAAGATATTTATATTGGAGATTTTGAAACTTGCTAAGGAAAGCAAAAGTTTGAGCAATAAAAGCTCATCAGATGCTGTTGACACATAATTTGAGTATTAAATTATTTATCAGTACAACTTATTTGGAACAATCAACAAAAATATTTCATGATACTAAGATTTGACTCAAGAGTTTATTGTACAGTTATCACACATATTCAGTAATATAAAAGAATTATTACTTTAAACTAGAATGTGAGTTTCAGTTAATAATAATTGTTACTTTTAAAACCAGGATGGATCTGTGTCAGTTTGTAAGAATTGGTCGTAGTAGCATTATGATTTATTTAGAAATAATGTTTAAAAAGTTTCAATGTCTACCAATATGTTTTGTTTTAATCACAATATATTTGTTCTACAGGTGATACTATTGGTGAAACTGTGGCTCTAATGGAAGACAGTTTAATGATGTTGGGTTCACTTCTCAGTAACAGGTATTCAAATATTCTACTAATCTATCATTTTATTCCTTTAAACATTGTGGCATCAAATGTTCTCTCAGACTTACCATTCTAACTTATAACTACTCATAACTCAATAAATCAAGGCTTCAGTAATAATATTATCTACCTTGAAAGACAATTTAATGACACTTGCTATTTTGGGGTTACTAGTCATTAGACATGCATAGATAATCTAGTCAATCTTTGATCCATAATTTGGCTATGTGCTGTCTTTGGCCAAACCTAACCTTTTCCATAACTCAGTATTTGTTCTTTTGTATACCAGGTATAATGCTCCATTTAAACCAAAGATCCAAGAATGGGTACAGAAACTAACTGGTACTACAGAGATTATTGAGAATTGGTTGGTGGTACAGAACTTATGGATCTATCTAGAAGCTGTATTTGTCGGTGGTGATATTGCTAAACAATTGCCACAGGTGAGACACAATTCTGTGATATTCTGAAAAGTCTGATGTTGCTTTTCTCCAACTCAGCATTCATGAACTGAATGATTGTATATCATTAAAATTGTATTTTTTATGTATGTATGTTTTGTATGCCTTTCTGTCATGGACCACAGAGAGAACTGACACATCTCAATATTATCATCCGTATCAACATCCCAAAGAAGAAATCCATACGCTGACAATGGTTTCAATAGTAAACCAACCGTAAGTTAGCTTGTTTTCTTGAAGAAGCTGTCACATATTATGGACATAATTATATCATAAACAAATTTTTCAAAAGCTTTATCTTATTACAGGAAGCCAAAAGATTCAGTAATATTGACAAGTCATGGCAGAAAATCATGCAGAAGGCTCATGAAAATACCAATGTTGTCGCCTGCTGTGTTGGTGATGATACTCTTGGACAACTCTTACCACATTTACTGGAACAGCTCGAGATCTGTCAGAAATCGTTGTCTGGTTATCTAGAGAAAAAACGTCTTCTCTTCCCTCGATTCTTCTTCGTATCTGATCCCGCTTTACTGGAGATTCTGGGTCAGGCCAGTGATTCTCACACCATTCAGGTGAGTGCAAACATTTCTTTTCTGTATGGAGTAGTAACTAGCATGTTCCATCTCTGAAACATAACCTAATGCCGCTGTCCTGGCAAAATTTCCCTCATGGCACCCTGCATGGCGTTGCCCGTCTTCATTAGCCCACAAGGTGCAGAAGAGTAGGATGTAAAACTCCATTCGTTTCATTTTATTTCTGAAACATAACTATCATGGACTTCTAATTTGGAAGAAATATTGTATATTTTGAATCAGATTAAAAATGCTAGTCCACAGTAAACATTTACCACTTTACCATTTTAACACAAAATAGGATCTTAGTGGTCAGATATGCTTTGTTGAAACTTGTAGACTAGACTAGTATACATGCTCTATTGTATATTGTAGAACCATCTACTGTCAGTATTTGATAATACTAGAACTGTAACATTTGATGAGAAGGTATATGATAAGATACTGGAGATTAATTCTCAAGAAGGTGAAAGTATTCCTTTAGATCAACCTGTCATGGCACAGGTAAGTAACTGATTAGTTTATTTCTTTAAAGGATGTCCATTTTTCACAGTAATTGATAACTTTTTTTAAATATATCTGCTCTTGAGGCAGGACATTTTCTTATGTTACATTATTCTCAGTTTCATCTTCTCATCGTCCATTATCTCTTACTTGGTGAAACAGAAATGAATTCAAACATCAGCTCCGAGCTGCTATCATAAAGAAAACCTCTTAAATCCTCAAGACATCTATATCCAAATCCATATAAATGGGTCAATGCTGCTGTCTACATGAAAACATTACTCATTGCACACTGTATCTTTTTTGGTCAAAAAAGATGGGATTAAAAACTCTTTCTCTACATTGTTATAATATGTATATTGTAGGGTAATGTAGAGGTCTGGCTAGGAGAACTATTAAATACCAGTAGAAGATCAGTCCATGGTGTTATTAAAACAGCCTCTGTCTCTATAACAGATAGTAGTTTTAATCTACTGGAATTTGAATCTCACTTTCCATCACAGGTATGTACTTACTAGTGTTCTTGAGAGCAAGGTGCCCGGTTGTCTACTTAGGATAAAGTGCAGGGACTTGAACATCCTTCCAACAAGTAACCAATTCAAATTCCCTGACCAATTTTTGAAACTTGACCTGATGTAGCCTCTCTGCTCACTCCATTCAAGAAGTAGATCATTTGTGAATCAGCCATGCCCTTAGTTGGTAATCAAAAAGTCAGTATTGTTAGATAAATAAAATGCTGAATGGTCAAGGGTAAAATAGGCACTAGCACCTTAAAGTCAAGATGTCAGACCAGAACTAATATGATATGATTTTGTTTTCTTTCTAGATTGGATTATTGGGTATTCAGATGATCTGGACCAGAGACTCTGAAGATGCCATCAATAATGCTCGTGTTGATAAAAAGATTATGGCTAGCACCAATCAGAAATTCTTAGACATGTTGAATATTCTTATTGATCAAACAACACAGGAACTGACCAAGATGGAGAGAACCAAGTTTGAAACTTTGATTACTATTCATGTACATCAGAAAGATATCTTTGAAGAATTGGTAAGTCATGTCTGGGAAAATTTCAGAATGTTTTGTGTTCATATAGCTTGGCTCTAGTCTATTGATAAATGAATAAAATTGATTTTGAATTCAGTTTGAAGACATAGTTAGATAAATTGAAATTCCCTTAAATCTCTTCAATTGTAGTAAGCTGTTGGTTCCTTGTTTGCATGGTTAAATAAAATTTGATAATTTTATCACTGTTGAAAATATTTATTTGTTTATTTATTACAGTACAAGAATCATGTAAAATCTCTGAATGATTTTGAATGGTTGAAACAGTCCAGATTTTATTTTAAAGAAGATACTGACCAATGTATTATTTCTATCACTGACGTAGATTTCTCGTATCAGAATGAGTTTTTAGGTTGTACTGATCGTTTGGTCATTACACCATTGACTGACAGGTAATTTAACACTTTTATTCTATGAGATAATATGGGTCGCTGTATAACGGGCAAATTGGCGGAATTCCCTCATTGCAAACTCTTTGTTACCATTCTTCATTGGCCTAAAGAATACCTGAGAGGGACATGTGAAACTTCAATAAGTCATCAAGGATTGGAACATAACACTTCCATTGGATTACCCATTTCTTAGGATATTTGTCCAGTTGGATTTGAAATATTTGTCTGGCATTATCGTTTCAGATGTTACATCACCTTATCCCAAGCTTTAGGTATGGCTTTAGGAGGTGCTCCTGCTGGCCCTGCCGGTACTGGTAAAACAGAGACTACCAAAGATATGGGAAGATGTTTAGGAAAATATGTTGTAGTATTTAATTGTTCAGATCAGATGGATTACAGAGGATTGGGTCGTATCTACAAAGGTAAGGACAGATTTCTATCTTCATTGGTTATCTGAATCAGATATCTAATCTGATGTGTAGAGTAATTTAGACCATTATTTGGTGTGCTATATGTGGTTTTGGCTACTTTCATAGTTTTGACCATCTTCTCTCTTTGCACTACATGCTGTTCCATTCTATGACACTGGACCCTTTTCCTAAAAATTTGTTGATCAAATTTGTCATAACTATGTTATTTTTCAATTCTCCATATTTTTATCGTAATTTTCTTTGTGGAACAGGGCCCTGGGCTATTATAACATCTCTTGATGTCTTTGGTGTTATTTCCAGGTTTAGCCCAAGCTGGTGCTTGGGGTTGTTTTGATGAGTTTAACCGTATTGAGTTACCAGTATTGTCTGTAGCTGCCCAACAGATTGCTATTGTCTTAGCCTGTAAAAAGGAACGTAAATCTCAGTTTATCTTTACTGATGGTGATAATGTTGATATGGATCCTGAATTTGGTATCTTCTTGACTATGGTAAGTTACCTTGTTCTGAACAATAGTTGAAAAAGTGGATCTCACTCTGTAAGGAATTAAGAGATAGCTTGTTCTGTTTGGATTTGTAGGACACAAAAACACAATTTTCTTTAAGGTTTTCTCACACTCATATTCCATGGAATGATTTATAAAATATAATTTCCTTTACAGAACCCTGGTTATGCTGGTCGTCAAGAATTGCCTGAAAATTTAAAGATTAATTTCCGTACAGTTGCTATGATGGTACCAGATAGAGCTATTATTATCAGAGTCAAACTGGCTAGTTGTGGTTTCATGCAGAACGTGGTATTAGCCAAGAAATTCTATACTTTATACAAACTTTGTGAGGAACAGTTGAGTAAACAGGTAAATACTGAATTATTTTCTGACTAAAAAAAAACCATATCTAATGGGGATTTTAAATCAATTTTTTATTCTTTATCTGAATGAATTGGTTACTGGTACTCTGCCTGAAGTGTTTAATCTCAACATACTTTCTCTTTTTTTAGGTCCATTATGATTTTGGTTTGAGAAATATTCTGTCTGTATTACGTACATTGGGAGCGTTCAAAAGATCCAACCCAGAAGATAGTGAAGCTACTATTGTCATGAGAGTCTTGAGAGATATGAACTTGTCTAAATTGGTTGATGAAGATGAACCATTGTTTATGTCTCTGATTGAAGATCTGTTCCCTGGTATGACTTTAGATAAAGCTGGTTATCCAGATATAGAGGCTGCTATACAAAAACAGGTAGGTTACCCCCCTTTTGCTTCTTCGTTCTCCCTAATGCTCTTGTTGGGATTGAATTGAAGGAAATATTTTTGTCAAAATTAATCACTTTCTGTAGATTTTTCACTTGTTCATCAAGCAAATTGGGAGTTTGTGAAATTATTTGACAGAGAAAACAGTGATCCCTAGTTTGGTATCACAAAGGAATTGAATTTAGACATATATAAATTTCTTTTTTCAAGGTTGAACAAGCTGGTTTGATTCATCATGATCCTTGGATATTGAAATTGATTCAACTGTACGAAACCCAGAGAGTCAGACACGGTATGATGGCTCTAGGTCCTACTGGTGCTGGTAAAACTAAATGTATCCAGGTTTTGATGAAATCAATGACTGAATGTGGTACACCACATAAAGAAATGAGGATGAATCCTAAAGCTATTACTGCACCACAGATGTTTGGTAGATTGGATGTATCCACTAATGATTGGACTGATGGTATCTTCTCCACACTCTGGAGACGTACACACAAAGCTAAGAAAGTGAGTGATCTAACCATCTTCTTAGATAATTTTGAAAAGACCATATCAGTGTTATTTAATCATCTACCTTAACTGAGTAGAGCATAGGACTGTTATCTATGCTATTCATCGAAGAAAGCCAAGCTAATCAGTTTTAGTTGTCTGTTGGTGTCTACCTCGATTGCCTATAGAAAGATTTTTGGATGATTTGCTTCTTATCTTTGTCATATTTGATTCCTAGAGTGTATATGTGACTCTATTTCTATTACAGGGAGAACATATCTGGCTTGTATTAGATGGACCAGTAGATGCTATCTGGATTGAGAATTTAAACTCTGTATTAGATGATAATAAAACATTAACTCTAGCTAATGGTGATCGTATTCCAATGGCTCCTAACACTAAGATTATATTTGAAGTACATAATATTGATAATGCTTCCCCAGCTACTGTATCTAGAAATGGTATGGTGTTCATGTCTAGTTCTGTCTTGGACTGGAATCCAATTCTCAGAGGTAAGATGACTTGGTCCTATAGCAAAATATTTTTTAAGAGTGGATTTTTATCAAGTTAAATTCACATAGGATGGCCGTTGTTTCTTTAACTAAAAAAGACTTTCACCCATCACGTATAACAATACTAATGGATTATGGTGTTTAGTATAGCGTGTAACTAGCTGATTTCTCATTCATTCATTCATTGATTCATATATTAATTATAATTATAGGTTGGTTGACTAACAGACCTCCACAACAGAAAGAGATTATATTTGATTGTTTTGAGAAAGTTTTCCCTCAGCTCTATGCCTACATCACCCAATCACTAGAGCCTAAAATGGATGTAAGTACACACAACTTTTTTAAAGCATCTTTGCTAGTAAAGAAATGGAAATAGATCTTAGTAATAATGATATATTTGATATTGTGAGAATTGTAACAAAGTAATAATAAAAAAAAATTTATATCATAATTGCAAGCAATAAAGTAATAATGATATTGTGAAAATACTAAAAACACTATTTCTATAACTGTAGGTATTAGAATGTAGTTATATAAGACAAGCTATAGATCTATTGGAAGGTTTGATACCTAAAGCTGATGATAATAAAGAAATATCTCGAGATCACCTACAGAAACTGATAGTCTTCTCTATGATGTGGTCTCTTGGTTCCTTGTTAGAACTGGCAGATAGGAAAAAGGTAAGTGACTTCTTCAATCATAAATCGTGCTTGTGCTTCCAAGCAGTATAGGTGAACATTTTTAATATCAAAGTAACAATCTATGGCAATAAATCAGAAGAACATTCAATTCTTATAGCTAGAGTTATTATTATTCATGAATTGTTCGTAAATTTCTAATTTATTCTCTTTTACTAGATGGAAGAATGGTTGAAAAAGAACTCTGATCTGCCTCTACCACCAGCTTCAGGAGAGATGACTATATTTGAATATACAGTTAATGGTGAGACAGGAGAGTGGCAGCCGTGGTCTGATAGAGTAAGTTTTGTTGTCCAAAATTGTTTATTTTAGAGGTCCACCATTTGGACTTGCATACAAACATGCTTGTAACACTTTATCTTGTCAAGTACTAAACCATGAGCTTCAAAACTTACCTCTTCTGTGATATCAGATAACTGGAAGTGGATATTAACACAAACAGGTTTATGGACATACCAATTATGGCACTATTGCTTTAATTGCTTGGAACTTATTGTTTTGCATGCCTTAAATGTGCCTCTAATTTTGGTTGTTACTTAAGACTTTTCATTGACATGGATCCTGACGACAATATTGGTTGTTAATTTCAGGTACCAGATTATGAATATCCTGTAGATTCCACGCCAGAATATACCTCTATCTTGGTACCTAACGTAGACAATGTGAGAACAGACTTCTTGATAGAAACAATTTCTAAACAGGGAAAGTCAGTCTTACTCATTGGAGAACAGGTTAGTAGAATGCCATTTGTAGCTTTTGATTTCTTTTGTGGCAAGCCTGATATGGTGTGCATGCCAGTCATCAGAGAGTGGGGGAGACCTACATACTGCTTGGCATGTTTGATTTTAACATGGCAATTTGATTAAATTCTCCCCTCCTATTGGCCTACTGTATATCTGTGTAAAACCTGTGAATATAATAAATATTTATATTTTTTGTTCTCTAGGGTACAGCCAAAACTGTTATGGTACAAGGTTATTGTGGTAAATATGATCCTGAAGATCATCTCTTTAAAAGCTTCAATTTCTCCAGTGCCACAACTACACAGATGTTTCAGGTAAGTTCAATTCTTTCTTTTTCTTTTTGCTTGTTTTTGATGCAGAGTGAAGATGCTGACATGTATAGATCAACCCACCATTGGCTGTGCATGTTTACAGTTCCTCACCAGTTGGCATGTTTTCCTTTTTCCCTTCTGCATGAAATAAATATCTGAAGGAGACATTGATTTTTTAGTAAAATAATGTATTGATATTTTGATTTTTACAGAGAACTATTGAAAGCTATGTTGATAAACGTATGGGTACCACCTATGGTCCACCAGCTGGTAAAAAGATGACAGTATTTGTTGATGATATTAATATGCCTATTATTAATGAATGGGGTGATCAGGTAATTATTCAAACAGTTCCTTGTTTAATTCATTTCCTAGACTGCTACAAACAAGATCTATATTATCTTATGATTCTGCTGCCCTATGCAATCTTCAAATTTTCTTTCTTGAGATGCTCAATAACATTACCATATTATGAGCCAGTTATGTTGTGGAAATCATTCATCTTCACTGTCAAAACCTGTTTTTAAAGGACTTCACTAGTGATTTTTCATCAGTGAAGCATTGGTTGCTTATTCTGGATCCTGGATGCAATTCTGTGACAGAACTGTTAATAGTAATTTTGTTGAATTAAAGTATTAATTATTTAAATTCCAGGTTACCAATGAAATCACAAGACAGATGATGGAATATAAAGGATTTTTTAATCTAGAGAAACCTGGTGAATTTACCAATATAGTTGATATACAGGTTATAGCTGCTATGATTCATCCTGGTGGTGGTAGAAACGACATACCACAACGTCTCAAACGTGCTTTTAATATCTTCAACTGTACTTTACCAGCCAACTCTTCTATTGATAAAATCTTCTTTACTGTTGGTAATGGACATTTCGTAAAGGTAAGTTCTTAATGTAACTGATAATCTGTTATCATAATGCATATATTAATTTCTTGGATCCGGGGAAAATTCAGTTGAGTGATTGAGCTTGGCTGAGGCATTATTTGACTATGTTCGGAATATCAGATCTGTGCTTGCTTTCCCGCTATTTCTATGTTTAGCAGTCCTAAATAATGCAGAGAAATTCTGATTTAAAGCTCACATTCTTTTCATTTTAATCATGTAATGAAATATTTTCTTGTTCAGGAAAGAGGATTTGACGATGATATTGGACAACTTGTAAAGAGTCTAGTACCAGCAACCCGTAAATTATGGCAGAAAGTCAAAGTTAAGATGCTACCAACTCCTGCCAAGTTTCACTATGTCTTTAATTTGAGAGATCTTAGTAGAATTTGGCAGGGTATGCTTAATACCACTTGCGAGGTCGTTAAGAATACCAGTGTATTGATGTCCCTTTGGAAACATGAGTGTACCAGAGTTATCTGTGATAGATTTGTAGATCTTGCTGATAAAGACTGGTTTGATAAAACTCTTAAGCAGGTACATATCTTTCTTTAATTCTTATATTTCACAGTTTACAAGCAAATTATCACTTATGACAAAGCAAAACATGTCTGGCTGTGTTCATTAAAGATCCTTCAATATACAAAATGATGCTACTGTTCAGACTAAATTTCCCTATTATATGCATGCTCTTGGCAATTGTCCAAGGTGTAGAAAGCAATATATTGGTCTTCATTTTATATGTATTAACTTCCAAACATTACCAATATCAAGTTGAATTATTTTTCATTTATAGGTAGCAGAAGAAGAATGTGGTTCCGTTGCTAATAGTATGGATCCAGAACCATACTTTGTGGACTTTATGAGAGAAGCTCCAGAACCAACTGGTGATGAACCAGATGATGCTGATTTGGATGCTCCAAAAGTCTATGAACCAATTGCTTCTTTAGATGCCCTCGCTGAACGACTTTCTACCTATCAACAACAATATAATGAAAGTATACGTGGCAGTAAGATGGATTTGGTCTTCTTCAAGGTGAGTGGGACAAAATATTGTGTTCGACTTGTGTCATACCATATACTTTAGATCTAGAATGCATATACAGTTTAGGACCCTCGGTAGTGATGCAAAATTATCATTGGATCAAAATTATTCCCAATGTGCAGAAAAGTAGAACAATAACCTGAATTCATGTATTTTTACGACTTATTGTATGTCATTAAATGATTTCTATTCAGACATGTTTTGACCTTCTGAATTTCATTTACAGGATGCCATGACTAACTTAGTAAAGATATCACGTATTATAAGAACACCAAGAGGACATGCTCTATTAGTAGGTGTAGGTGGTTCAGGAAAACAATGTCTCACTAGACTAGCTTCCTTTATAGCTGGTTATTCTACCTTCCAAATTACATTAACAAGGTATGTCTATCAACAAATATTTGTATTCAGTTGAGTTTCAGTCAGCTACGTTTTTATGAATCATTAGGTGTAGCTAGAAGGAGCCACAGAATTGTCAAGTTGGCCCACAGGCAATTCTAATTCTTATGTTGTTAATGTTACCAATTTGTAATAAGTTGAATATTATAATCTGATTGTGTTTCTGATGCATGCTTGCAGACAGAAATCTAATCTATAATTTGTATATTGCAGATCATACAATGTAACCAATCTACTGGAAGATTTAAAGAACCTGTACAGAACAGCTGGTCAACAAGGAAAGGGTGTAACATTCTTATTTACTGATAATGAAATTAAAGATGAAGCTTTCTTGGAATATATGAATAACATTCTATCATCTGGTGAAGTCTCGGGTCTGTTTGCTCGAGATGAAATGGATGAAATTACTCAAGAATTAATTGCTGTTATGAAGAAAGAGTTTCCAAGACGACCACCAACAGCTGAGAATCTGTATGATTATTATTTGAGTCGAGTTAGACGTAATCTCCATGTTTCTCTCTGTTTCTCACCGGTAAGAATTCTGCAGTTTTCAAATTTTTTGAAATTTAAATTGTTGCATTTTAGTCTAAAGACATTAATGGTAAACAAAGATTGAAAAGCCACTGCTTGCTCAAGATAAGTCTGTTGGGAAAATTAGGAAGTTCAGAAAAAATGACACCACTGTCCTTTCGAAAAACAATATTGCCGGTATTTAATAGACAATTTTCAGACTTAATTTTAATCTGTATTCTGTATATCCACAGGTTGGTGAGAAATTCCGTAACAGATCATTGAAGTTTCCAGGTTTGATATCTGGTTGTACTATGGATTGGTTCCAGAGATGGCCTAAAGATGCTTTAGTTGCTGTATCTAATCATTTCTTACAAGATTTTGATATATCTTGTACACCAACTGTCAAACAGGCTGTAGTGGATACTATGGGTTCATTCCAGGTTAGAATATACTCCCATTTTTCAATATAAATGACCATCTGAAGGAAAGATTACATATAAATAGAGGGTTACTATTTCATTACTGAATTTTGTTAACATCAAATTTGACTGAGTAAATAAGTCCATAAGACAGTAATCACATATGATCACTGTAGAACTGCAGCAGTAGATGATGAAGTGGATGATATTAACAACTTATGACCCTGACGGGAGTAAAGGCATTATCTCTTATCAGCTTAAATATCATCTGGACATGTATTGTGATTTGTGATGTCCATCCTGTTCTCAAATGTTCTTAAATCATTGTTTTTTTATTTCAGGATTCTGTGTCTGAAGTTTGTGTAGACTACTTCCAGCGGTACCGTCGTCAGACCCACGTCACCCCCAAATCATACCTCTCTTTCTTAGCTGGTTATAAGGTTATTTATGCTGAGAAAAAAGAAGAAATTGGTGTGTTAGCTAACAGAATGGACACTGGTCTGAAAAAACTGATTGAAGCCTCAGAATCGGTCAATGTATTAAAGAAAGAATTAGCTGTCAAAGAAAAGGAATTAGCTGTTGCCTCTAAGAAAGCTGATGAAGTATTAGCTGTTGTAACTGTTAAAGCACAAGCTGCTGAAAAAGTCAAAGCTCAAGTACAGAAAGTAAAGGATAAAGCCCAGGCCATTGTAGATGCTATTTCGGTAAGTTCAACTTGAAAGTTCAATCAGAAACACATAAGGTACCTTTTATGAGCATAAATAAAGTGTATGATATTGATACACCTGTCAATGATGCAGGTTAAAGATATTGACATAACAAAACAATCCTTCGTGTTCAAGACGGTGACAAAGAAAAATTAATAAATCTAATGGTTAATGCCACTGTCCTGGCAAATCCTTGTTATAAAGTCTTTGTTTTAAGACTTTATTATTTTGTTCTATTGTAGGCTGATAAAGCAGTAGCTATGGGTAAATTAGAAGCAGCAAAACCTGCTCTAGAGGCTGCTGAAGCAGCTTTACAGACAATCAAACCTGCTCATATATCTACTGGTAGGTATTTAATTTACTTCCTTATAACATACCAACTGTCTGCAACTTCATGGCCTCCTTTCACTGTCAGAGTTAGTCAGAATAGTAGGACCTTTCCTTCATTTCATTTTGGATATTTGTATTTGATATTTGTATTTGATATTTGTATTTGTATTTTGATACAGTTTGCTTTGAGATTTTGCTGTATAGTAGGACCTTCCTTCGGTTCATTTCAGTATTTCTACCCATCTAAAATGCTTAATATTTTAATTTCAGTGAGAAAATTGGGAAAACCACCTCATCTTATTATGAGAATTATGGACTGTGTCATTATATTGTTTCAAGTGAAAATTGATCCAATAACAATGGATCCAGAAAGACCTTGTATGAAGCCGTCTTGGGGTGAAGCTTTAAAACTCATGTCTAAATCTAATTTCTTGCCATCACTTCTTAACTTCCAAAAGGTAAGACTTTATTGTGGAAGAAATATGAATTTCCAAATTTTGCTATGAGAGAACACAAAGCACAAAAGTTATAAATGAACAAAAAGAAAGTTCAAGGTGCTCAGTTAATGTCAAAATGTTTCTAAAGGTTTCATTTTGGACATTATTTTTTTTCAATTTCAAAATGGTTGATTCGATACTTTTAGGATTTGATTAATGAAGAAACAGTAGAATTGATGCAGCCATATTTAAATATGGAAGATTACAGTGTTGAAACAGCCAAGAAAGTCTGTGGTGATGTAGCTGGTTTAGCTTCTTGGACTGAAGCTATGGCTATCTTCTATGGTATTAACAAGGAGGTCTTGCCATTGAAAGCTAACTTGACTGTACAAGAAGCTCGATTGAATGTAGCTATGAAGGATTTGGGTGATGCTCAAGCTCAGCTTGATGAAAAACAAGCTGAGTTGGATGCTGTACAAGCTCAGTTTGATGAAGCCATGTCACAGAAACAGGTAATTGGCTATTTCTATTAATCTATTAACTTTAAGCTCTTAAAAGAGCTTTTTAAGATTTGAGCTCCAGCTCTGGAGGTTATAGTTCTCTCAGAATACTTGGTTCAACACAGCAGCTGGGTTTGTTTGTTGTCAGAAGTAGACTTGGCATTTCATTCATAGATAAGCGCACCGAATACTTATGCTCATTACTGCATCAGTCCGCCATTATCCTCGGTCAGGGGTTGCTCTCTCTAGTTGTTTCCAATGGATTTAATAAATTGTATTATTTTCAGGCTCTGATGGATGATGCTGATGCATGTAGAAGAAAGATGAACAATGCTGAAGCTCTGATTAATGGTCTGTCAGGAGAACGAGTCAGATGGACAGAAGCTAGTAAAAGCTTTGAGTCACAGATTGTCAGACTAGTTGGTGATGTCTTGTTGGCTACTGGCTTCTTGTCCTATACTGGTCCCTTCAATCAGGAGTTCCGAACCATTATGATGAAAACATGGAAGAAGGAAATGGTTCATGCCAAGATTCCATTTAGTGATGTAAGTTCTGGAATTTTTGGGAAACTTTTCTGAACTTTGATAATAACAAAAATGGTAAAATGGCTGTGAATGCTATTTATTAATGCATGCAGATCTGTGCCTGATCATGACAACTAAGCCAAGTATTTGACCTTCTGATTGAATTAAGATACAAAATTATTTTATTAATGTCAAAACACTCTCATAAAGACCCTAACAAATTGGTATGAAGGCTAGATGCACCCTCTTTGTAGCCATGTTATTCTCAAGAAGCACAAGATATATATAGATAAACTATTTCTGACATCTATTAACTCGATGTGCATACAGGCAGCATTACAGGATGATTCTTGTCACTACTTACCTCTCAATGTATATTTGTATTGTAGGATGTAAATGTAGTCAGTATGTTAGTGGTGAACACGACTATTAGCGAATGGAATCTACAAGGTTTACCCAATGATGAACTGTCTATACAGAATGGTCTGATTGTAACAAAAGCCTCACGTTACCCATTACTTATTGATCCTCAAGGTCAGGGCAAGAGTTGGATCAAAAATAGAGAAAAGGAACATGATCTACAGGTAACTTGAATTTTCAAATTTTATCCAAAGAAAATGACAAGGCAACATTGATTCTTGTGGTTGAAAATGATTTACCATCTTGATGTACTTTTGATGATTAGCCAGTTATGAGGAGAAAGGTAAGGATAACAAGCAAGGTTTGTAAAGGAGCCTTTCTACCAGGTTGTCCATGGTCAAACCTCTTGGTATTGATCTTTTCTTGTCATATAGATTTGTTTGTCATTAATGTAATATTTTTCCATTACAGTTGACAGCTTTGAATCATAAATATTTCCGTACCCATCTTGAGGACAGTTTATCACTAGGACGTCCATTACTGATAGAAGATGTAGGAGAGGAGTTAGATCCTGCTCTTGATAATGTTCTAGAGAAAAACTTTATCAAATCTGGAAAATCACTTAAGGTATGGCTCATTAAAATTATTCTTAGCTTTGTGGACTCCTCTCTCTTGCACAGGATGCCGAGTTGATCAAGTTAGAACATTATTATCAATAGTGTCTGTAATATATTAATGTCACTTTTTGACATAACCAGAAATTTTTATCTTAACATTGATGTGATCCTAGCCTTTTTGCAAGGGCTTGTGGCCTTCATATTTTGCATATCAACTATATTTAATATGTAAATTTTAGGTAAAAGTAGGAGATAAAGAAGTAGATGTGATGCCAGGATTTAGACTGTATGTAACAACTAAACTAGCTAATCCTGCCTATACACCAGAAGTCTCAGCTAGAACCTCAATTATAGATTTCACTGTTACTATCAAAGGATTAGAAGACCAACTGTTAGGTGTTGTCATCTTGACAGAGAAACAAGTAAGCAATTAACGTATCAAATGATTAGTGCAGTATTCGTATCAAAGGCTTAAGACTTAGATTTGAAATTGTGTCATTTCTAAGACATTCTTTCTTTTATATATAGCTGATGGTTAGGTCTCACTGCTGCATTACTATTAATGTTTAATCCTTTGGACTCATTTTGTGCACAAATTAACGAAAGATAAAGCAGATTGGTGCCAAATTCTTGGCTTTCTCTCGTTGCACACTGCAGGGAGTTAAATTTATTCTTTTGAAAAGTATTCAATTTGACATTTTCGTGTTTTATTAAGACATGACTGGTTGACATGGTCCAATAAATAATGATTATTTGTACCTTCTACTCAATTAATGAACTTTCACCATATACATTGAATATTACAGGAACTGGAAGCTGAAAGAACAAATCTATTAGAAGAAGTAACCAATA